GTTTCTGAAACTCGGAACTATTTTGATTGCAGAGCTCGACTGGCTACAGAGGAAGACGACTGGCGACTAACGTGCTACTATGCTTACTCAGAGACATGTCGGAGAAGAGAGGCATGGCAGATGCTCAAGGGTTTGGCAGAGAATAACTCGAGTCCGTGGATGATTTTAGGGGACTTTAATGATATACTTTATGAGTCTGAGAAGAAGGGTTCAGTTGAGCAATCCCCATGGCGGTTGAAGGGTTTCCGCGAGGCAGTATTCGGCAGTGGTCTTCGAGATTTCCCCTTTGAAGGATATCAGTGGACTTGGGATAGAGGGAAAGGCAAAGCTTATGGGGTGGAAGCTAAACTGGATCGGATTCTTGTGAATGATGATTGGTGGAACGGATTCATGGCTGCTAGAGCTTGTTCTTTGGAGGCTCCGGTGAGTGACCACATGGCTTTGTGGATTCAGATAAACCCCACTATTCATATTCGGAGAGCGCGAAAATTCAAGTTTGAAAACATCTGGTTAAAGGAAGATGAATGCAGAACGATAGTGACAAATAGTTGGAATGCTGGTTTTCAGCTATCGGTGAATGAAAGGCTGACCTTTTGTGGTCAGGAGTTGCTGCGGTGGGATAGCAGAAGACCGAAAGGTTTCAGAAAACGAATCATAGCGTGTAAAAAGAGACTATCATGGTTAAGAGGGAAGGAAGATAGAGCGAGCATTCTTGAGTTTGTTAGACTACGTGAAGTGGTTCATTTGCTCATGGAAAAGGAGAACCTTTATTGGCGTCAGCGTGCCAAAGAGTTTTGGTTGAAGGAAGGGGATATGAACTCCCGTTTTTTCCATAATTCGGTCAAACAACGAAGGAGGAGGAATAAAATTCAGGGCCTCCGTTTGGAGGATGGGTCATGGGCTACGGACCGAGAGCAGATAGCAGCCACTGTCTGCGATTATTTTACTAACATTTTTCAGGAACCTGGCGGGGAGCGGCAGTGGGGAGGACTTGCAAGCTTCAAGAGGGTTTCGGTTTCACAGAATGAGGATTTAATTCGACCTATTAAGGCAGAGGAAGTCAAAGAGGCTATTTTTGACATGCACCCATACAAGGCTCCGGGAGCAGATGGGATGAACCCAGCCTTCTTCCAAAAATTTTGGGATATTGTTGGCCCTGATGTAGTGAATTTGTGCACAGATATTTTTAATCAGGGTGTTCTGCCAGGTGAGTTAAATATTACTAATATAGTCTTGATCCCTAAAAAAGACAAACCAGAGGGAATGGGGGACTGGAGGCCTATTGCGTTATGCAATGTGATTTACAAAATCTTTTCTAAAGTCCTGGCTAACCGACTGAAATTGTTTCTGGGGAGTTTAATCGATGAAAGCCACAGTGCCTTTATTCCTGGAAGGTCCATAATTGATAATATAATTGTAGCTTTTGAGACACATCATTATCTTAAGCGGAAGAACACAGGGAAGGATGGTTATGTGGCTCTTAAGCTCGACATGAGCAAGGCGTATGACAGAGTTGGGTGGGCTTTCATGAGAAGTGGATTCATATGGTGATGCAATGCATTACTACAGTGAAGTATTTTGTTAAGATGGATAATGAGCATCTAGGACCAATTGAACTCCAGAGGGGATTACGTCAAGGGGATCCGCTCTCCCCTTGTTTATCTTGGTTGCAGAGGGCTTGAGTGCACTTATCCGAAGGGCTGAGCATAGAGGGGAATTGCACGGAGTAGCTGTTTGTCGAGGTGCCCCTCGGGTGTCTCATCTGCTCTTCGCGGATGATAGTTTCTTATTTTTCAAAGCATCAGTCTCGGAGTGTGAGGCGGTTCAAAATATTCTTCAGAGGTATGCTACTTTATCTGGCCAGCTGGTAAATTTTAATAAATCCTCTTTGAATTTTAGCCAGAATGTGAGCGAACAGTTTAGAGATTATTGTTGTGGCCAGCTAGGGGTGCCGAGGGATGGAGGGTCTAATTTGTATCTAGGATTACCAGCTTTGGTAGGGAGGAATAAATCGGTAATCTTGAGTTATTTGAAAGACCGAATTGTCAACAGAATTAAGTCTTGGAACAATCGTTTTTTGTCTCGAGCTGGGAGGGCTGTGTTATTAAGGAATGTGGTTCAGTCTTTACCAAATTATGCAATGAATGTTTTCCTATTACCCAAGGACCTTTGTGATGAAGTGGAAAAGTTAATGAATGGGTTCTGGTGGAAGGGTTCAAAGTTTGATCAGAAAGGAATGCGGTGGAGAAGATGGGAAGTATTGTGTAAACCAAAGGAGGCAGGGGGGCTAGGATTCTGACGTGTCAGGGAGTTTAATTTGGCTATGCTAGCCAAACAGGGGTGGCGTCTTATCACAGAAAGCGGGTCGCTGATGCATCGAGTACTCAAAGCTAGATATTTCCCTTCTTCTGACTTTCTTCATGCAAAACTGGGGAGTAATCCCTCTTTTATTTGGAGAAGTATTTTTGAATCCCAGTTGGTCCTAAAAAATAATGTTAGGAAGAGGGTGGGGAATGGGCTTGACACCCAAGTTTGGGCGCATTCGTGGTTACCGAGAGGAAATGGGAATGTTTCTTCTGACAAGCCTCCGGGAATAAAAGATATGAATGTGGCAGCTCTTATAAACCATACGGGGAAGGAATGGATATCTGAACGACTAAATAAATGGTTTAACCCGGATGATAGAAAGCGTATTCTGAGTATTCCTATCAGCTTCTTGGACCGTAGGGATGACTTTTGGTGGACTGGAGAACGGAATGGCAAGTATTCGGTCAAGAGTTGCTACCGAATTTTGATGGGGGACCAAACGTGCGATTGGAACGGCTGGGGTCACTTGTGGAATATTAAAGTTCCTCCAAAATTTAAGTATTTGGCTTGGCAAGTGCTTGATGGTACGCTCCCTACAGTTAGTAATATTCGCCGAAGGGGGGTAGCTATTTTGGGAGGTTGCAAATTGTGTGGAGCAGTGGAAGAAGACACGGCACACGCCTTGCGGGATTGCCAGATGGTGGGGGACGTGTGGGCGCAGGCCGGGTTTTCAGTACAGGATCAGCAGATAGAGTTTGAGGAATGGTTTAAAAATTATATCACAAAATTGGGTATGGAAAAGAACCGCATGTTTCTCGCGGTTGTCTGGTGCATTTGGAAGAGGCGTAATGAAGCAGTTTGGAACGGGGCGGATGATGGGGGCAGGTGAGGTGATCCGTATGGCATCAAGCATGTTAGACACATGGGGAAAGGCGAACGAGACAGGTGGAGCGTCGTCCGTCTCACAACAACAGCAAGGCGATATAAGAAGGTGGAGGCGGCCGGCGCAGGGGGTGTTAAAACTCAATGTTGATGGAGCTATCAATGCTTCGGCAGGAATTCGAGCTTGGGACTGGGTAGCTCGAGATGAAAATGGTGAGTTGGTTCGAGCAGGAGGCGGCTCTAAAATGGCTGAATGGACAGTTGACGAGACGGAAGCTTGGGGAGTCAGAGAGGCGTTGATGGAAGCTATGGAAGCAGGTTGGCAGAATGTGGAAGTGGAGACTGATTCATTAAGCGTATTTCATCGCATTAAAGAGGCAGAAGACGGCAACGCTTATATTGATCTCATTATTGATGATATTAGGAGGATTCTGACAACAAAGAGTAACTGGCAAGTCTCTTTTTGTAAAAGGTCTGCGAACACCGTGGCACATGCTTTGGCAAGGTCCCGTGTAAATCTTTCAGATCATAGTATTCAGTTTGATAGTATTCCATATTGTATTTGTAGCCAATTGGCAAATGATTTAATAATATAAGTTATCTGTTCGGCGACCAAAAAAAAAATTGACAAGGAAAAGTGTAGAATAGGAAGAGTTAGTCTTGTTTTAGGAGTTTAAACTTTAAGCTCCTATGATTATACTTTTGTTTTTATTTAATCCTATTTATTAAAAAAATTCATTTTAAAATCAATTTGGGCACTTGGACTACTAGCTAACTTATCATTTACTCATACCGCATTAAGCTTACCAAATTAATTTCTAATAAACCCAGTAATTATTACTCCGTATTATTATAGGTTAATTAAGTATATCAAGTGTATCTTTTTCAGGCAAGACTCATCACACACTCAATAATGTTTCTCTCATGGTTTACTTTTAAACTACACTTGAGGTAGCTAGTGCCTAGCCATTAGTATCACATGGGCTTCAAATTAAAAACAATAATCTTAAACAAGTATATTTTTCATTTTTATTTGAAATTGGGAATGAACTCTACTCATATTTAATATGGCGTTTATGCTGTTTTCTAAAATTGTTTGTGCTCTTTCATGGAACAGACCTTATGTAAATCAGCTTGATTTGTAAATTTAAAACATGGTATTTTGGTTTACAAATCAAATTGTAAAACATTAACAATACTCCCTCCGGTTCTTAATTAAGTTCCTAGTTTGACTTCACACATATTAAGAAATAAATTTGACTTTACTGTGCAATGCACTGTTTGAATACTGTTTGTCACTGTTTGAACGTTGTTTGGCACTGTTTGACACTGTTTTGGTGTAAATCATTTGCCAAATAAGGAAAGGTTTGAAGTAGGAACTTTAATATGGACCATCCCAAAATGGAAAGTAGGAACTTAATTAATTACGGGACGGAGGGAGTATGAAAGTTGTAAATCATATGAGCTAGCTAGTTATATGGTGAAAGCATTGAAAGTTATATGGTGGAGTTTTATAGTGTCAGTTTGGTAATATACGGAGTACCAAATTTGACTGAATCTGATCATTCTTTTGAAATTTATGAAATTGTGGCTGAATTGACTGAATTGGCAGGTCAGCTGATTTATGATAAATTATATTTAAAATTACATGTAAAAATAGCTAAAATGATTCTCTACAGTAACTTTAGCCAATACAGCCAGAAAAGTAACTATAACCTTACGTTTTCTTATTGTTACACAATTTAACGCGCGAAATCAAAAATTGCATATTTGGAATAAAACATACTAGTTACTTACCAAATAGGCTCATAGTCAATAATAACTCTAACCCAAGACTTAAAATATAAAACCGCAATATTGTGCTATACTCTTACATTTATTTCCTTTTCTCCGCTTGTTTGGTGTTGTGTATCCAAACCTTGAACACTTGCCTCTTCAAACCGACTTCCTCACAAAATTGCTGCACTTTCTCTTCATCTTCCTTCTCGATCCTCCACCCAATTTTCTCTGCAAATCCCTGCATTTGATCTCTCTGCTGCTGGGTGAACTTTGTCCTGAACCGTTTCTTTGACCCTGAACGTGACTTAACAGTCTCAAGATCTGCGCTAGACGATTCCGCCGGAACTCCGCTGTTCCCGCCAAGCGTCACTGTCACCGGCGCCGGCGACACCACACCCCAGCTGCATTGGTGGAGCTGCGGCGTTATTGTTGGGGCAGGAGGCGGATCAGTAGGTGGAGGAGCGCGGAGATGGATTTCCTTGCGGTGGAAGTTACGGTGGCAGTCGCAAGCGGCGCATTTTAAGGATTCTGGGGTGTCATCTTCTCCGGTCGGCATGAATTCTCTGCAGCCGTCAACGGCATGGCCGCCGGTGCTGGCAGCATGGTTCTTAAGACATTCTATATACCGAACTGAGGTTGTCGATCTTTGTGCCACAACTGTTAATGATGACTTTATTATGGAGCACTAAAGTATCAATAATTCTTTTTAGGCAAAATTTAATTTGTGCTCATTTCTAACACATTTGTACGTAATTGTCTGTGCACACAAACCATGTTGCACGAGTTGAATTGTTTGTGTACACAAACAATAACAGGTGTACAAATTACCTATGCGCATAAACAATTACGTTCAATGTGTGCGAAATGTAATACAAATTTCGTGTACAAATAGTTTTATTTTTTTGTAAAGTATACATATACAAAGTATTACGGAGTATGTAGTATAAATATATAGAGATCTTTTCTTATACATTCGAACGAACTCGAAGTGCTGTCCAGTCACCTCCATTTGAGGTGTCGGGATAAAAAAAAATTGATGAAATTGTATAAGCATTTTTTTTACTGAAATCTAGATTATGTCTACAAAATTCCAAATTTAAATCTAATCGGGAAATCAGTTAAATAAATTATTGGTAAACATTGAATTCAATATATATATATATATATATAATTTTTTTTAAATAATATATATAATATTATATATTATTCAAATAACATAATTTTATTCAATATATAATAATTTATTCAAATGACTTCTAAATTTAATTTTAAACTGAAATTGTGTGGACATATATAATCTACCGTTCATGATGAACGTGATCACAAAATTTTTATCAAAAAGCTCCACCGAGAAGCATCTCAAATGAAGAAGGCCGAACGACACTTTGGGCCATGTTTGAGAAAATATCTCATACCCATATATACAAGTATAAACTAACATTTATATATGCTGGGTTTAGATTGCCTACCAGAAAATAAGGATGGATCAGGATCTCTTGAATCTTGATGATGATTATGGAGGAGATTCATTTGAGAGAGGTGCTGAACTAGGGCTAATTAAATTAATTGGGATGCTGATTATCGTTACTGCAGGCTAGTCTTGGAGGTTGATGTGGACTGTACTACGTACTTCGTAACTTTTTGTTCTCGATCACGAATCGAAGCCTTAATTCAACTTATCTAGCTAATGTGACCCTTTGAAAAAGACTCAGAGAATACATGAGCATGCAAATCTAGACAGATATTCCAAATTGGATCACAAGTTTTGAGATTAATTACAAAGTCTATATATAGTCACTGAATAAAGACTCCAAAGATCGACACAAAAATAAAGTCTTCAGCTGAAATAAAAACATAAGAGAAAATTAAACAAGAAAAAATGGGAGAATATGAGTCTTCAACCTAGAGCCCTATTTAATTAATTATATTAGTTTTTTTTTAAATATTTATTTAATTAGTTTGTTCGTTAAATTAGAATCAATATCATCACGACATCACATGATGTGATTTGTTTAATTTAGTTAATATTCTACATACATACCATTTGTTACAATGTTACATATATATGCATTATATGTTAGGATTTTATTGGTTAATTATTCCTTCTGTTCCACAAGACATTGCGAGTCATAGTTCGGATGATTGACTTATGAACTAAATTAAATTTCTTAACATTTTCTAATTTATTACGGAGTACAAAGTATGATTTAAATTTTATATACCCAAAAGCGCAGCTACCACAACGTTCAATTCTGTTGATCGAATTGCAAAAAAGAAAGTTCACTCAAAAAAACTGATGCATGCCCAAATTAACTATACATGGTTTATGTTTTCACTTTCCTTTTCCCCTATCTCAAAGCAAATCTAGATGTGGTCCTCAATGTTTCGATCACTTTGAGATGACAGAAAACTCCCTAAACACGATTAAAACATTAATTAAAAAAAATCAGAAGCCATTTTACATTATTATTATTATTTGAATACGACTTATTGACACTTTTATTTCACTACAAAAAAATACGGGATTGGCACGAATTTGACACAGATTACCGACTTTTCGTGTCAAATAGCTCGATCCAAAATGTTTTTGACACGGATTTTGCATAACCCCTGCCATAATCTCTTTCAATCCCGTATTTTTTTGCTAGTGTTTTGTTCTAGTCATATTTTAGGATGAAAACCTATTTGATCATATATTAAAATTTTGTCAATAATATTTTGGTCACTATAATGAACAATTTGTATGAAAATAAATGTCAATTATGATTACACATCTTTTTTTTGGACAATTCTTTCTAACCTATATAGTATCTGCTCAATGTTAATGTCAACATCCTTGAATTGAGATGAAATTCGAACCTGTGATCTCCTCATTGGGAGTGTTACCGATGTCTTACGGTAGGTGCATCTTACGTAAGTCTAAAAATGTGTATTTACCTTTTGTCTCCTTTTGAATCCTGAATTCTGATAGATGGTGCATCTTACGGTAGGTGCATGCACGATGATGTTGAGTGTTAACCGACAACCTTTTCTTACTCAATTGGTCTTCCTTTTTCAGTCTATGCTGTTTGAGGGAAGGAGACAGGGAAGCAGGTCCACCCATAGGTTGAAGGCTTGAAGCCTAGCTTGGGTGTTGGCTCACTCTTATCTACTGAATTAGTCTTTCTACTATGCACTTTTACGAGCGATGCTTTGGTATGAAACCCCACATTCTTATTAACAAGCGTAGCTCACAAAGAATTCCCACTCTTCTTTCATTAGTATATATTCAAAGCTCAACTTACACTCTCATATATTGTCTAATCCGTTCTGGAGATTCTCAAGGATGAGGTGTCAACTTTTTAAATGTAACTAACTTTTACAATTTTTCATTTATTACTCCGTATTATTATTAGTTCACTTCACCATTACTTAGTTCTAATTAATTTTGTTACTCTAATTTCAGTCCTACTCAGATTTTGGCTAAACTCAGCTCATTATGTACATGGGAGATGCCTTAAATAGGACAACTAAAACTTAGACACATTTAGTACACATATAGAATTATAGTCTTATTCACTCCTAGATGTAAATATAAAATATTCTTATCGATACATTTCATAAAAATAATAAGTCTAATTTTGATAATAAAATATAATTATATATTCTTATCGATACATTTTGTCTATCATAGTGCTAATCCCAAAAAGAAAAAGAATGTCCGGTAGATATGGGGGATTGGAGGTTGATCGACTTGTGTAATACTGTAATATTGCGTATAAGATTTTTCTTAAGGTTTTAGCAACCCGATTAAAAGGGTTATTAGAAGGTATTGAGGCAGAATATCAAAGTATTTTTATTTTTAATGCAATTCCAAAAAACGTATTTCGAAAGCCAAAAAGCGTATTCATAAGATCTTAATCCTGCTACGACATTTGCGCATTTAGATGCAACTTCCGCACTCTCAAGAGGGTTTAGCTAGCTGCAAATTAAATGTATTTATCCATCAGTTGATCCTTTAGATTCTAAGTTAGTGATTATGAGTACCCAATTATTGACGGGAGGGGACACCAAAAGTCTCTTCCATTCCATCTATGAGTAGAGCGAGTAGGAAGGGGAAAGAAAAGATTTATAAAGTTCTTTATGAGGGAACAAAATATCTCTAACGTGGGTTAACCCCAGATCTATCGTGGATAATATCACAGTGGCTTTTGAAGTCCAGCATTTCCTGAAGAGGCCGGGAGACTTATGGGAAGGAAGAATAGGTTGCTCTAAAGCTGATATGATCGAGCAAAGCCTACGACAGGGTGGAGTGTCACCGAGGCTATACATGCAATTCGAAAGAGATCAGAGATGGATTTAGGGGCGGGGCTTGGACTTTCAAAATATTCTATTATACATGTAATATTTTCATAAAATTTTCATACTTTAATTTAGTTAGATATATATTTGTTTGTCCCCCTTAACTTTTAGTTTTCAAAATTATTTTTTTTTGAAAAGTAGTTTTCAAAATTAATTTATAATCGTACATTATGTAATACTTAATTGGAGATAAAAAGAAGAAACATTTAAGACAAATAAATAACAGAACATCTCATTGTTTAAGATTTAGGATACTTATTATACGGATTGTAAAAATTCCTAGTTTTGTAATGTTTAATTATCTTTATTAGATAATTAGTACTCAATTTTGTAAAATATCAAATGATATTAATTATCAGACACACTAGTTAATTTTTTAGATCATGTGAAGTAAATCCAAAATATAAATGTTTGTTGACACTTAACATTTAAATATATTACACAAGCGATTTACTTCTTACTTTCTAAAAACAATTTATTGCATATATAATAAACATTAACTTATTTTAAAATTACTATGAATATAATATGCACCATATATAAGAATCTGCAATATAATATTATTCTAAACATAATAATCTCATACGTATTATTGTAATATTAAGAAAACTTCTCATGACTCATGAACACACTCCTTAGTAGACAAAAATTGTAATTCAAAATTCAATTCTTTATTCCAATAAGATTCATGTGGTTAAACAACCAAGAGTTATTTAAAAAGTATTGATGGATATATAACTTTTAAAGTTTTTATATTCAAATAATTGGATAAAATTTACATATCCTTTTTTATTTTCAAGTAATTCCCTTTAATTTTCTATTTCTTACGCTTTAATGTATCCATATGTTTTTCTAGATCACTTCAATTATAAAATCAAAGTTATTTTTCCATTGTCTAAACTTAGAATTCGATGAATTTAAATGTCGCCGTGTATGTTTTAATGGAATTTTTAAATAAAAATAGCCGCATAGCCCTGCACTTACGAAAAAAATTCGCTCCGACACACTAGTGAAAAAAATTTGCCCTACTACACTGTCGAAAAAAAATTCACCCCTGCACTAACGAAAAATAATTCGCCCCCCTTGACTCAAAATACTGGATCTGCTCCTGGAAGAGATTAAGTTTTCGAATTGGGAGTGGAGATACTACTCAAGTGTGGAAGGATAACTAGTTAATCACACAACATGCATGGTGGCAGAATGGCAAATAATGTCATTCACATATGGTTTGGAGGATTTTTGAGTTTGCTCGCTGATGGCCGAAGATGGGGGGAGAATGGGACCATGACATTATAGCGGACATGTTAGGTAAAGAAGACGTGGAGCTCATTTTGGGTATTCCTTTATGGGGGGGAAGTGGAGCGGACGAGTGAATTTGGGTAGGTGATGACAAAGGCATATATTCTGTTAGGAGTTGTTATTGAATGCTGACTAGATGTGACCTACCTGATGTAGCATGGGCTATGATTTGGAAGCTTGCATTATTACCAAATGTTAAAAAAATATGGCAAGCTTGTATGGATTGTCTTCCTACTAAACA